AGGTAAAAATCCTACAGAGACCAAGCTAAGGGATTGGAATTAGAGAAGTGTCTGCAAATGCCAGGCTAAAGGACTCTGCCCTTTCTGGAAGAGCACAGCATTACCTGATATATAGGGCCAGCCCAGCAAAGGAGAGGAGCTGCCTAGTGGAGAAGTAGTCTGCCCAAGCAGAGAAGCAACATATCCCAGAAGCATAGTGGTCCAACCCAGCAGCAAAACAGCCCCAGCTTAGCAGCAGAGTGGCCCTGTACAGATGCAGAGAAGCCCTGGCCAACAGCGAACTGCTTGGAACATATTAGGTAGCATACCTAAGCATAGAAGGAAAAAGTTCTCTACAAAGTAAATAAGTGTTAGCTTCTTGGTTCAAATAAGGATAAAATCATTTTTTAACTTGCCAAAATAATTTTTAAAAGCTACTTTATATTTATTTTGCATATTGTCTCATTCTAGTAATATACTCAAACTATATATATATCCCTGCTCCATCTATTGGCATCCAGCACCACTGACTTCCTCATGAGACTGATGAGTTCTAGAGGTTAGGGGTCCTGGAATCCCAAAATCACGACACTCGGGTATTGTCTGAAAAAATTCGACCCAAGCCTTTTTTCAGCCAAAAACACAATTTATTGAAGATTCACCATACTAGCCAGAGTCTTAAGGAATCTGAACATCTGTGGGCTATTGGCTGGATTGTGAAAATCTGAGCCTCTTAATGGAGACAAGATGGACTTTATATACAGAAAGACTGTGGGAATGATCCAGGAGTGGCCAAGTAGTCTATGAGTAATATCTAGGAGTGGCCAAGTAGTCTGTGAGGTAATAGAATTCCAGGGAAATGGAGCCTAGGTGGGACCAAGGGTGGGAAGTGGCCTGGGGCCATAGGGAGGCAAGATAATGGAGGGCCAGGCTAGGTCAAGGATAACAGAATTGAAGGATTGAGTATAGTCAAAAGTACGAATCATGGCCTCAGGGGAATGGCGGAGATCTCCTTGATCAAGTGGGAGAATTCAAGGTTTTCTAGGGCCCTTAGACAAATGGGGCCCAAACTGGGACAAAGGTCTCACTTTGGGCCCATACCCCATCAAGACCAGCATGCCTGGAGCTGATTTTCAATTTTTGATAATACTGAATCATTAGCTGGATCCCAATCACTTGGGAGTTCCACTATCACTGCTTTTTTTGTTTGTTTTGTTTTGTTTTTTACTTTACAGTTGGCAAACTTCTTGAGTCAGATGTCAACATACATTTGATATTTTTCAATTTTGCCTGCTCTAATTGAAAAGCAGAGTATCTATTTTTAAAAAGTATATCAGCTGCAGAATGATTCTTAAGGTCCATAATTACTATATTCCATAGTTCCCCATCCCCCTGTAGGAGAAGCAAGATATGTTTCATTATCAACTTTCTGGAACTAAGATTAGTCATTACAATTACCCAGAATTGGGATTCCTTTTAGTGTTCATTTCATTTATGTCATTAGTCTCTGTGCATATTGTTCTTCTGATTTTGCTTACTTCACAGAATTATTTCATTTGAATCTTTCCATATTTCTATGAATTTCTATGAAATGTACCTACTTTGTTATTCCCTAATTCAGTTTTAAAATTATTGATTGTCTTGCCCAGATCAGATAGGAGCACCAATTCTTCCTTGTTACTCCATCCATTTTTTTAATGATATGCGAAAAAAGATCTTCTCCCATTTCTTCTCAAACATCCTCATTTTTGCAAAATTCTTCTTCCAAAGAGCCTAATTTCCCAAGTATATTAAAGAAAGCAGCAGGATGCAGTGAGGAGTGCTCTATAACCCAAGTCAAGGACAGCTTCTGTCCTTTTCCCATTCTCTCATCATTTATCCCATCATATGCTCCCTCAGTCAATCAACAAGCATTTGTTAATCTCCTGCCATGAGCAGGGAAGTGTGCTAAACTCTCAGGATACCTAGACCCTATTCCCCAAGACACGCTCTTACAGAATTCCAACCATTCTTCCCTTTCCCCCAACTAGGAGATAATCCTGAGAAGCACACCCCATGGTTGGAGAAGCATTTTGGTTTGTGTCCCAACCCCCAAATGGAGTTTGCAGCAGGACCCCAGTCCATTCCATCTTCTCTCTGTGGGACTGCTTTGCCAAATTGAATAAGCATCCCTCCACCACTGGAAAGATTTGACTTTCACTTCTCCCTCTATGAACTGCTTCCCAATGGACTAGCTCCCAAGATACCTAGACAAGGAGGAGAGATTGGAAAAAACTCACATTCATATTCCTCTCAAGTCATAAACAACCTTTTTCTTAGAAACACATCTTCTCTTCTTCCTCTTCCTCTTCTTCCATTCTCCCTCTCCTGGTCCTGTTAGTAAAATAATTCTTTCTACTATCCCAACAACAAAGATATTGATTTACTATGCTTCTCTTTTTTAACCACCTTATATCTTTTGCTTTTTACAATCATTTGCCTATAGCTACTTTCCATTTTCTCAATGTCTCAAAGACAGTGTGAAAATCATTTTTAAGGAGATGAAAAAGAAACAACTGAACTCCCACACTCATGCCTAGCCTAGAAATAAGAACATATCCACTTCTTTTCTCCATCATTCAACACTATTGAATCTGTTTGCCTTTTTAAAAATTTTCGTGTTTTCATGATGAATACCCTACCACCTCTACTTTTAAAGGAATGACTGTAATTCTTCTATTTTAATGAATATCCAAGTTTTTTCATTGATGATTAGGCTAACTTTTTGCCATTTTGTGTTACTCTGGGGAGAAATTGATCTCCTCTGCTTTTTGGAATATCACATTTCAAATTTTCCTTTGATTTCTTATAAGTAAGGAAGGTTCCTGCACTATTTTGATTGACTTTCTTTGAAAAAATTCTTTTTCTTCCTTAAATGTCTGCAATATTTGTTGCTCTTTATTGTAGTCTTAATGTTTGACCCTAAGATTTCTTGGGGGAATTAATCTTGACAATTCTTTCTGCTGATGTCCTGCTTCTCTCAATCTGTATTTTGCAATCAGTTTCCATTATTTCTGGGCAGTAGCCTCATATTATTTCACGAATTTTTTTTCTTATCTTTTTTTTTCAGACAAATGAATAATCCCTAGATTTGATTATCTCTTCATACCCTATCTTCATATCTAGTATTTTTATTTTGTATAATTCTCATGTGTTCTTCCAGCTGTGTCATCTTTTAATTTCTTTCACTTAATTCTTTAGGCTCTGTATTTTTGATTTTGTTGTTACAATTTTGTTCTATTTTTCATCAGATATCCTGTTTGGGTGAGTGTCTCTGTCACTCTAATTTCTCTACTCTCTTATGAGACCTACAAGGTCCTAGATTTGAAGCTAGGGGGGACCTCAGAGGTCATTAATTTAACTCCTTTATTGTACAGATGAGTAAGATAAGACTCAGGGTAATTAAGTGACTTAATTATGATTGGCTCACATAGTACTATAGCTGGATTTCAACTCATACTTTCCTGATTCAAAGTCCAGAATTATGCACTATGATTTCTTCTAAGAAACCACTAAATTCTCTTTTTTTTTCTTTGATGAATGTTCACTTAATTCTTTTATTGCTCTTCTGAACCAATGTGGAAGCTCTTAGAGTTTTTCCATTGTCATCTATGGGGATCATTGAACTTATTGTAATGTTTTCGTCTCCAGAATTTTTTGATGGAGTTTCCCTCTTTTCCTAGGCTATTTGCTCATTTCACCCCTCCTTCTTTGACAGTTTTTATTAGTTTTTGACAGTTTCTCTGTTGGTTTTTCTATTTTATTGCTGAAATCCGGTTTTTGTTTGTTTTTACCATCAATCCTTTCCTTTTGTATTAAGTAGTTTGGAAATGGGCTCCGTATCTTTGTGCTCGCCTCCCTCCAGCAAAACAAAACAAAAAACCAACACTGCAGCTTATTCTCTGCATTTGAATGAGTCTACAGCCTTCAAGGAATGAGGTTGATCAACTACATCTGTACTGTTTTCTAAGAGACCAAGGTTTTGATTTTACATTGATTTTACATCTTTCCCAACCTCATATTTCTCAGATCCACAATCATCTCCGAGCCCAATTTTCTTTCTCCCTAGGCTAACATCTGGCACTGGTGGGAAATGCAAAGATAAAATCAAAAGTCTAAGCCCTCAAGGAGCTTACATTCTATGAGGGTAAGTGGAGCAATACAATAATTCGAGGGTAAAAGACGACAAAGACCACCAGAAAAGACGTCCAATAAGAGGGTCATAAGCTGGAGTTGAAAGCAGGGGTGTGCTGGAGCCAGCTCGAACCTGCTAGTGAGAGACGATTGATAAATTTTCACCAAGTGCATTTGTACTCCAGAAATTGGCAAATGTTACAAGTGAAGGCTTGATTTATTGATCGTCTAGACTTAAGAAACTGATAGCGAAACATATTAATAATGCAGATTAAACGTTAAAATGTGTCTCGACTAAAATTTTTTTTCTCCAGCGATAGCCCGTTGTTAAACATTTACCAGCAAATCCCAGGCTGAAAGGGGCTTAATTAGGCCAACTAGTCCACTCCCTTCCCCCACGTTAAAGGTGAGAAAATAGAGGTTCAAGGAAGGTCAGGCAGCAGGCCTTGCGCAAGCTTGGGTTGGCTCTCCCTGCCCCAGCCTAGGATAACGAAGTCTACCCGCAGGGACTCCTGGGCGGGGGATACTTTGGCTGTCTAGGCCAGAGCTCTCCCCTCCGCCACACTGGACTTGAACCTGACCCTGTGATGACCCGGAGCCCTTGAAGATTCTTGGAAATAAACATAGCTCTCTGATCCAGGGCCAACCGAGGTTCACTCTCATCCATTCCATTTCAAAGATTCCAGAATCGCGCCACCTTTTCCAATCTGCCGTCCACTCCTCGTCCATCCGTCCATCCTTGACGTGGAATCAATCCTATTGAAAAAGGGTCACATTTAAAACCAAACCCGAAACGCGCTTCGCAGAAGTGTGTCCCCGTGGCCGCCTCGTAGCGGCGCTGGCCGGCGAGGAGCGTGACGTCGGCCCCGCCCCGCCCGCATTGCCATGGCTGCCAGGGGCGCTGGGCCGAGCGAGAGCGTGCGCTATGCAGAGTACGCGCCCCCAGCCGCCAAACGGGCCGAGTCCGACTTCGACCAGGGGCTGGTGAGTCCCGGCAAGGGCGAGGGCGCAGCGCACCGCCGGGGGCCCCGGGGGAGGGCCCCGGGACCTGGGGGCCGGGGAGACCCGGACCCACGGAAAGTCTCCGGTCCCGGCGGCCCCCCCCGGCCCCGCCCCCTCCCCACTCTCGTCCTCTCACGTCGGTCCCCTCTCTTTGGGCCCTTTCTCTTCCACCCACTGTCGAACCCCTATCCCCCCGTCCCCGTGATCTTCTATTCATATCTACTTTACATTCTTAGTAGTAGTGTGACCCTGGACAAGTTACTTAACTTTTGTTGCCTCAGTTTCCTCAACTGTAAAATAGGAATAATAATAGCACCTACCTCCCAGGATTGTCGTGTGGATTAAATTAAAGAAAAATCTTTACCCCCATAGCCTAGCCCAGCGGTGGGGAACCTGAGGCCTCGAGGCCACGTGTGGCCCTCTAGGTCCTCGAGTGCGGCCCTTGACTGCGACTTCACAGGACTTAGAGGGCCACACGTGGCCTCGAGGCCTCAGGTTCCCCACCCCCGCTCCAGCCCCTTGCTCTCAGACACTGGTCCTTAACAGTTGTCTAAAACCATTGCCAATCCAAGGAGCATTTCTTTGCGTGTTGTGTGCAAGGTGTGGTCCTAGGTACTCAGAATACATTAATGACCACACAGCTAGGGTCTCCAAGGAGTCTCTGGTCTAGTATTGGGGATGCGCTCTATACCCGGTAATTATAACATGGTAGAATGTGATAAGGGCAAATGATAGATCCAGTCAAAATGCTGGAAGAAAATTTTGAGGTCAAGGTCACTGCTCCCTGGGGAGGCTAAGGGGAAGGCCTTGTAGAAGAAATGATGCTCAAAGGGCCGAACTTGTGAGGAGTAGGATGTCAGCAGATAGATAAGAAGGTAATGTCTCATCTTTGGGCAGGGCTTTTTTTTTTTTCCGTTCTAATGTATTCCATCTTCAAAAAGAAAGACGTGATTTTAATATTGCCTAATATGTTAAAAAAAGTAGCCAGTCAGGCTCCAGTGTTAATACAATTATACACTCTATTTCAGATTTGATAGTGTGAGCATTGTTCTTTTTTCCTTTTTTTCTTCTTTTTTTTTAAACTTTCTCCTTCTGTAAGTATTCTTACACAAGCTGGCTACAAGTCAGGGGGGGAAATCAAACACAAATAGCATAACTTGCACACTTTTAAACAGTAGATTGTGAAAGAGAACTCAAGATATGTTTGGCCTGTAAGAGCCTCCTTTCCCTGAAGTAGTGGTGGATAAGGTGTGTAATAGCAGATTGTGGTGGACCTAAAATGTCAGAGCAAGGAGCTTATGTTTCAAAAGGTGGCTGGGAGTCATTGAAGGTTTTTGAGGAGGTCATACTTGTAAGAGAAATATTGTTTTGGCAGTTGTGCAGAGGACGTGTTGAAGAAGGCACAGGCTGGAGGCAGGAAGATGAATCAAGAGACCATTATAATTGTTCTGTTGAGAGGTCATGAGGGCTTGAACAGGGAGAGTGTAAATGGACAGGAGGCATCAGATTAGAGAGAGATTTGCCGACCATGTACAAGCTTGGGTAAATTACACAGACTCTCTGGAACATGGTTTCCATTGGACTAGATGATATCTAAAGTTCTTTTGACCCTCTTCTCTCTTTTCCCCGTTTTCTGTTCCCCTTTTCCCTTATAAACAGAACTTTATTCTTTGTTTCTACAAAATATAGAATCTTGGAATTAATTTGCTAGGAACCAATTATAGTAATTAATTTTAATTGTCATTTATCTGCGTCATCACATTTTATTTGAAGTTCATATGACATACTCTGAGGCTTGGTGTCATGGAATTTGTTCTGAACTTTAGGGTAAAGGAGCCCTGAAGCTAAATATTGCCTTGCACATTCGGCTTTTCTCCTTTCATTCCAAACCACCCTAATTCCAGCCTTCATCACCTCTCCCTTGGACTATAGCTGTAGCCTTCTAATTAGTTCCCTCTTCAGTCATACCTTCAGCCAGCTGCCAGATTGATATTTCCAAAGCCCAGGCCTATCACTCCCCTGTTCACAAAGCATTAGTGGCTCCCTGATACATACTTTTCTGTGTCCCCTTTAAAGCCCTTCATGCATTCTATTATTGCCAAACTGGCTGATTCTGCCTACATGATCTTCCCTGTCTCCTTTTTTTTTGTGCCTTTGCATGATCGCCCTTCCTTCTTCCCCCCTTATTTGGAAAACTCTAGGGCTACCTCATTGGAAAGGTCTTTCCTGACCCCACCCATCGTGAGTGCTATCCTCACTCACTTATTTGTATTTACTTTTTTCAGTACTTAGTAACCTTTCCTCTCCTCGCCTAGAGTGAGACTGAAGGCAGCCATTACTTGCTTCCATTTCTGTAAAGTCAGGGATCATAGATTGAACTAGAAAGACACTTTGAGGCCATCTTACACTCTTTCCCTCATCTCATTTTGCTGATGAGGAAACAGGCTCATAGATGTTAAGTGACCTCCAATCTGATGCCTCCTGTCACTGTTCAAGCCCCCATGACCTCTCAACAGAACAATTGTAATGGTCTCTTGATTTATCTTCCTGCCTCTAGTCTATGCCCACTTGATGTGTGTTCTGGTCAAAGGGGGAAAGAACGCTACCTCCTGAAGGGAGGAGGTAATTACGGAGGAATATTCTGATAATGATCATATGGCTACCACCAGTGCTGCCACGCAGGATGTTGCTGAAGCTCATGCTGGCTGCCCTGTGGACATGGGGCTTACAGGAATTTCGTGGCTTATATGGCCTGAGACTGGCCCAGGCAGAGGTGACAGACTGCCAAATATCCAGTCAGACTTACTCCTCCCCCCAACCTTTGGTTCCATTGGGATGTAGAGATTGGATTAGAATTCAGAGGGCAGCCTGCCACCAAGTTTTCCCCTTTACATTTGGGAGATAGAATGATACAGTTGTAAGAGTGTTAGATTAGCGGTTGGGCCTCTGTTCTTCCACTTATTTCTTGTGTGACCATGAGCAAATTACTTAACTTTATTAGGCCTTATTTTCCTCAATTGTAAAATGAGATCATTGGTCTAGAGTATAGACCTTGAAGGGACCATCCACCTATACATATATGGTCCTGTATCCCTTGACAGCAAATAGGGCACCATCATTTTAATTTAGTTGTTTTGTTTTTTATGCTTAAGATTTGTTATAAAATTGTAATAATTCTTAATTCATTTCATTAAAATATAAACTAGGAAAATTATTTACAGAGATATACCTCTAAGGTCTAAATGACTCTAGATCTGTGATTTCATTTTATAGATCAGAAAAAAACTGAAGTACAGAGCAATTAAGTGATTTTTCTAACAATTAGAGGCTAGGTCTGTTGACTCCACATTAAAGGTACATTCTATTATATGGCTAGGATGAAGAAAGGATTAAGAAAAAAAACTATGAACTATTTTTAGACCTATTTGGAAGCCTAGTTGAGAAATAGTTTTGTCATAATAATTACAGGAAAGTTGCAGCTTATTTAATAAGTGTGAAATATGTGGGTTTTTTTTTTAATTTTAAAAACCTAAATTATTTAAGTCTTTTTTCAGTTAAACTTCCCGTTAGGGTTATGAATTAAAACTCATTAATCAGTTGAGGAACTGTCTAAGATGTAGGCAAAAATACCTACTTGGTTTTTTAATGTGGCATTTTGTGGTGAAAACTGTGTAATCTGATTTTATTTTCAGTCTTTATCAGTATATCTGATTTTCTTGGAAAAGTAGGTTTAATTCCATTTTATAAAAGGAATATATGAGGGTGATCTTTTCTTTTAAAGCAACTGATTTAAGTTCATGTGGAAGAGTAGCCTCTCTCTTTACGGTACTTTTGTGAAATATTTAACTGCTGTTGCTCTTCTGTTATTACCATAGTATGAAATGAACATCACTCGAAAACAGTTGATGTGAGAGTTAATTATATACTTTATAATTAATAGGGTTCATTCATGAATGGATCTTTCCCCATTCCCACTCCTCCAAAGAAATTTACAAGATTTGTTTTGCATACTTGGAGACTATTTGTGAAATATTGCTTCAGAAAGCAGTGGGTAAATATATATATTTTAAATTTCACGTGGTGGTTCACCTCTTCTTTGCATACTTCATGGCTATGGGGGTGGGGTAAACCAGTGTGTGGGACAGAGACCACCTACCGAAATTAAAACTAGAGTCTTGACAAAAGCTTGCAAAAAGGAGAAATCTCTTTATTGACTTTCTCGAGAAAGGACACTCACATCAGCCCAAGAGAGTTCGAGAGCTCTTTGTTTAAGGCAAGAATATATAGATTGGCTGAGCCTCAGGTGTACAATCTATTTGTGTGAAAACTACCCCAACAACAGAGAGAACAGAGAGGTATAGAAATTATGTTAGTATGTTCCCCTTTTCAGGGCCTCAGTTTTGGCAGCCTTTTACCCAAGGTCATATAACTAGCCAGAGGGTGAGATAGACAGGATGTTCTTATGGCTCAGGAATTTCTGCTAACACTCTCTAAGAGTGGGGGGGAGGGAGAAGGAAAGGGGAGGGGATCTTGTGTTCTGAGGGGTCTTCACTTAGTGCTGGTACGCATGTACCACTCACCAGTATCTTTCTAGATTGGGAGAAATACTTCTATAATAAATTAGTTAATCAAAGGTATTTATTATTATCAACAATAACAACAACAACAATATCCAGTATTTATATAGTTTTGTAAAGCACTTTGCAAATATTAACCCTATCTACTTTTGTGTCCAGCCTTGTGCAATTGGGGATACAAAAGAAATATAAGACAGAACTGACATGATGATATTCCTATACTTATTTATATGAGATAGCTAGAGAACAATACAAGATAATAAACCATCAAGTTTTAAATTGCATAGTTCAGGCTAAATACTACACGATTTAGAGAAAAGAAACTGAATGAATCCTCCCTGTCTGACTTCTCACTTTTCTTTGCTGGATCTTCATCCATCTCATATTCCCAAATTGGGCATGTAC